ATTTTTCACTCTTCAATTTCATGTTGCTTTATTGCTGACCAATTTAGTTTGGTTTCAGTTTTTTGTCCACTTAATTCTGGCATTATTTTAGTTCCTGTATATCAATCATCCGTTGCAGGTTCAAATTTGGGTTGTAATATATCTGGAATCCATCGTTTGAATGTTAATCCAACATTGTTGAAACCATCATAAACATAATATGCGGTAATTATTCATCAATGGAGATCTTCTATTTTTTCCATATTCTTTTGATGGTTTATTTCTTCTTTTTCTTTTCAGTGGATTGTATCTCCTATTCGTTGGAGGCGGAGAGCACGCCGAAGCAAGTAAGTGGAATAATTGTCATCTATGTACTTGCTGTTGGGTTGACCAATGTTTTAAAACTGACATATTTTGGTTTCCCTTTTCTTTATCTCTATTAATATTTTATCTAACTGAAAGCAATATTTGGTAAATATTAGCGTTCTTATTAATGCATTTTACGACATAGCAAAGTCGAAAATAGTTATTCTGGTGCAATGAAAAGAAATGTAGTCTTTAACATCCATCATTTTAAGGCCATAGCCTTTAATAGTTGACCGTGAAACAATAGAAATACAGATTTACTCAGCAAGCAAGTACTTGATATTTTACGTTGGATATTGACATTGAAATCTATGAACATAACATTATCCTAGAGAAAAGTTAATGTCTGCGTTTGAAAACCATGTTTGTTGATATATCTTCTTTAATTATATAGGTACCTGTACGGATTGTCGCCAAACAACGTTGGCTTGCTAATGGTTTTAGACAAGGGCCCTCGACTTAGACAGTGGAGATGCCTTTCAAGCACACAAGTGTGAAAGAACGTGAAAACGATTTGATATGTAGACGAAGCCTATAACCATAACTGCGAATGCTGAATGGGGTTGATCAAGCTATCATGGGATTAATGCAGAATTTGGTATGTTGTACAGTGTTCTTTTGTTTTATTTGTTCGGGATTGAATACATGCTCAATGAGCAAAACATGCATACTCGCTCATATATTCGTGGATTTCCGTTTGAGGTATTTGCCCTTAGGCCATCTCTTTTATATTTCTGATTCATGTATGCAGTGTTATACTTTTATAATTCAAGCAATTTGTTATTTCTCAAGAGGTATATATGTATATATTGTATACATTATGTTATTATTCTTGTTTCATTTACCCTTTTTTTGTTCATTATATGTTGTGTTTTCTTAGATGAAAATGAAATATCTAAAAGAACCTTTGGATTTGGAAAGTTGGACAAGTTAATTCTCTCTGGTAATAAGTAATAACCCATTAACTATAAGCATGAAATCCAAGATGATCATGCATACTGAAATGAAAATAATACAAATACATAATCATCGGTAGATCCATAGATAAAATAGATAACTAACAAAAAGAAATTCGAATTTCAGGGTATGCTCATCTTAGATTACACTTACATCCGTCACTGACAATAATTGAGGTAATACAGAAAAGAATTATTAAAGAGGAATAAAATTATAATTCTGTGTGTATCATCTTTATAATATCACAATCTGTTATAAATTTACGAGAGTTAAAGTGTAATTTTATAGAATTAAACTGAAATATTATTAGTCTCTCTTGGCGCCACCCATGCTTAAGGAATTGAAAGAGGGCTGAGGGCTTGTGTGTGATATCTGAGTAACTTGAAATAGCAATACTTGATATATACAAAAAAGAAGCAATTTCGTCAAATTAAAGTTTTCTCCGTACTCTTTTGGACTGGCTTATGGAATGGTGCTGTCGAAACAGATGCATACATAAAGGGAACCTTCGTTGTCCGCATAAGCAGGCAAAGGGGGAAACTACCCAAATCAAAGACCCTTTTCATGCAAAACTCATTCCAACTTCAAATAAGGCCTCGCGCAGGGACAAACAGTTTAATCAACTTCCTTATATACCAGTTATTCCCTTGTCTGTGTATATGAAAATTGAAAAATAAAGCCCAAAAGTCAAAAGTCTAAATTTAATATGGAAATTCGAATTGACTGATTTATCAAGTTTGATCCTAACCACTTATTTTGTTCTATAGGTTCATTACAGTTTAGGGAGGACAAATGAGTACAATTTCGTGGATTTCGTACCGTACTCGATCCAATTGGGACGAAGATTGGTATAACTTTAGTGGGTAGTGGGCGGGTGTGGATTTAGAAAGTGGTACCCGTCGCGGGTAGTGGGCGGGTGATGGGTTTGAGACCTTACCCGCCCCGCATCTGCCCGCCCACTAAATACCCATTAAATTTTGGATCATTATGAATTTAGGTATAATTTTAGAGACTAATTTATAAATTTTAATATTGTATAAGATATAACTAATAATTTAACCAAATATTAGAGATAATTTCAGAGACTAATATTATGCTTCTTAATGGACATTTTTGTTTTATGTTTGTTGTTTATGTATAACTTAAGGTTGCTGTCAGGCGGATCTAGTCAGATACGTCTCCAGTTGGGTAGTGGGTGTGGAATGAATTTTAGAATGTACCCGCGTGGGCGGGTGTGGATTTGAAAATTTTTACCCATCATTAGTAGTAGGCGGGTGGTGAATTTGAAAATATTAGGTGGTATGGGACTAGAGGAGAGGGTATCCACACCGACCCGCCCGTTTACCATTCCTATCACAGTTTTAAAAATGAGGGGGAAAATCTAGGAAACAACACTAAAAAAGTTAAACTAAACTGATCAAATCTCACTTCTAGTATAAATTACATACCTAATATGTTGAGATGTATAGATTATTGATATATCAACCTATTTGAATCAAATATACATAGATATACATAAACTCATGGTTAAGGTAAATACATGCCTCAAGTAAATTTAATCTATAAATAAATTTAACGTAAAATCTTACTTCCGTCCCTACCTTTTACTATTCAAAGCTTATTGGTCACTATTATCATCCTCAACATCCAAAACAACTTTTTTCTACTTATCTATCTTTTTTTTACCACTCGAACCACCATCACCATTTGTTTCGTTATCCTATTTAACCTATCATCAAGCTATTTTTTTCTCAATCAACAAAATTCTTGTCCTCTCTCTCATTCCATACTCACATCTTTAGGTCTAACCGACATAAGAATGAATCTTCAAAGGTATCATATGAATCTTCTCAATACTTCAAAGGTATCATATGAAGAGAACCATCATTATTTTTTCCCGTATAAGAATGAATCTTCTCGATGGTTTCAATAATAAATAATTTAAACAAGTTCTTAGTCCATAAATTATCTTGGACAAACAATTCATGTTAGGACTATTATGTCGTCTAAAGTCTAAAGAGGAGATGATTTGTCTTAACTATATTGAAGCAGGTTGACTTTTGAGTAGAGATAGAGATATTTTTGACCGAGTTATGCAACACATTAAACTGGATCTAAGATGAATTAATCTTAAATTTATTTGTGACGTTAAAAATATATTTGTCTTCCTCCTAAGTTAACATAGAACAATATTTGTATGATTTGCATACTTTAAAATATTAAAGACTAATATGTCTCAAAGTAGTAAGATGATGGTTGACATGTTGAATATGTAACTCATACATTATAAATTGCATTTATAGATATGAAATTATTACTCGATTGAAGAGTATAAGGTATCCTCTCAACTGAATTGTATGGTTTATAACAATTGAACATGCCCATAGGTCATTCATCAAGGATAGTCGATTTAATTATTTTTTATTCTTTATTTATTAGTTTGTGGTGAATATAAGGCGGTATATGTTTAAACACTCTCAACTATTACTATTGAATGTTCGTACATTTATGCATATGTAGTATTCGAAACTGAAATCTCAAGGAATAACAACAATTATTTATTTTTGTAGTAATCATTTTCATTATGTGAAATACCCAATAGAGCATTGAGATAAAAATGAAAAAACTAGATGAACAAATATAATTTAAATAGATCATAAAGATCAATGATGACAATATATTTATAATGAGATCGTTGGGGAAAAACTACTACAAACTTAGCTTTTTTATATTGTTTAATAAGTGTAAGTTTGATTACATACTTTAGTGGAATGACATCGTAATCCAAATAATCATGTAATTAATAGATAAAGAGGCGAAGCTTAATTATATATTATTTTAGCTCATGTTATATTTATTCAAATGATCTATTTTATAGATTGATATAACTCTTAAATGGTATGCATGTTAGATTACAGATAATTGAAAAACAATTGTGCAAAAAATATATTATAAAAAATGTATTATAAAAATATTTATTAAATGAATTGTATTTTTTTAATAAAGAAATAAATAATTTAATGTAATTATTTTTTATGAATAAATTAAATAATTAAATTTAAAATAGAAAATTAAACTAATAAATTATCATTGTAAAAATTATAGAATTAGAAAAATAAATAAATTTTACATATATTGCAATAAAATAAAATATCATGACCTTAATAAAATTAAAACTAAATTATTTAATAATTTTAAATATAAAAAATAATTTTATCGTAATTAATTTATTTAATTATAAATCTAATTTAAATCTATTTTATATTTAATTATTTAAATTAAAAATTAAGCTTAAAATTTTATTAAAATACAAAACAAACCCAAAATACATGATCGAATAAAGGGGCACGAACCAAACGACTTTGGTGGTAAAGGAATTGTTATTATTCCTTGAGGTCCCGGATTAAATCTTGATTCTTCTAATTTTCTTTATAAATATAGATACATTAAGTGGTTTCACTGATAAAAAAAAGTTATTTTTTAAAAAGAAATTTGGGTTCAAGTGGTCATATCTATAGAGTGTATGTGTGTTGTCAATATGTTAAAAAAATTATGAACATATGTTACCTTATAATCCTTTTAAATTATTTAAAAATTTGAAATATTAATAACTAGTTATTTGGACTAATTAGTGATATTATTAAGAACAATTTTTACAAAATTCAAATCAAACAGATAATTAATGTTTAAAAGATGTAATACAACCAAAATATATACTTTTTTAGATACATTTTAGTATTACATGAGTAACATGTTGGTAGCTAGTAGTAACATAACATTTTGAACTCATAATTAAGAACGTAAACGTATGATCTATACACAAGCTAAGAAACGCAGCCAAGTTGGAGACAGTTGAAGAATTTGATCACCATGTTCCACCCCATTAAAAGCCAGCTTCCACATTTCTGCATCAAACAAACTACCCGATCTCTTAGCCACCTTGGCCGGTGGGGCAACCGCCATGGATTCATCATCCTCTACCATGTTCTGGGAAGCTGACGAGGGTGGTCGATCATATGATTCGTCACTTGATAACGACTCCTTCCCCGTCAGGCGTTGCACGAGGCTCATGAACTCCTCGGGTCTAACATGGATAATCTTCGGCGACCTAGTATAGATCACCACAGGGTTAATTACCTTGTTGCTGCTACTGCTTCCAACGATTCGATTTCGAATATCATTATTACACGATGGTTTCTTGATCATCGATGAAGAATCGCTAACCTTTAACGGAGAAGGCCTTGGACCCTGCATCAAAGATCTTCCTCTAATGGAGTGTTTGATTTCACCACTTTCACTTATAAAACTCATTTTGTTTTCTCTCTTCTTGTAAGACTGAACTCATATATATATACGTTGATAGTGCACAAGTAAGAAGGAGTCCAAGCAGGAATGCTAAAAAATGGCCAACAAAAGTGGGTCTCTGGATTTGAAACGGTCGTTGTAGTACTATGGAGTTTTGGTAGACTCTGCCGGCTATGCTTTTTCAAAACAGGTTTGTTTAAAACCTTTTGGTTGACCCATCAATAGCAAAGGGAAGATGGTTTTTTTTAATTAATCATTTGTATTCGATCTATTGACCGCATAATTTAGATCAAATTTTGCAGAGGTCCATTATGGGGACGACCCTCTCAACTCAATTTGCTCAATTCGCAAACGTCGGATTTCTGATCTTGCTTGAGGACTTTAGTGTCTCATCCCACTAGATCAATTGATTGTTGGTAGTGACATCGGTAGTTAAGAGGAGTATTGTTCTCCCTAGATGTCATGAGTTTGAACATCTGTGTTTGCAAGGTGTGTGGACGTTGTGAATAGTTAAGAAAGATTCAAAACATATATTATATTGTAATTTCACATGACTATTGAAAAAATCTAAAAAAAATATATAATACGTAGTAGTGAAATAAAATAAAAATAATAGTTTAGATATTGAAGATATACTTGATCTAATAAAAATATGGTTGGCCGGACAATCTATCATCAAGTAATGAATAATCTAATAATTGATGGATACCTAATCAAGAATAAGTAATGCTTATCATCCGAAGCCTTTGAAGTCAACTGATCATTTTGCAATTGATTAGTTTGTAGACTTGTAAATTATATGGGTTAGTTGCTTGATAATTTCATATAGATTTATGTACTGTTTTTTTACAATTAGATAAATTATATTAATCCCATTTTTAAATCACATTCATTAAAAAATAAAATATGTTATAATAAAAATGTTGAAATAATGTAATCATTATAAGTTATCTAACATCGGGCTTGGTTTAACAAAGGAACAATGGGCTTGACGATTGTTAGGTTAGGGTTGGAGCTTAATTAGATATAAGTTTAATTTTCATGATCAACTCTTGGTTTGTGGTCCACAAATGGTTAATAAATAATCTAAATAAAATCAGGGAATGATCAAGTAAATTTACGGACCACTCTAATTATGCATTTAAATACTTTTTCAATAATAATAATAATAAAACAATGATTGAACTGAATCTAAAGTTTTTTTAACAGATTTCAATTAACTGAAAAACCCCCTCATCCATTGTTAAGAACACCATTGATCATCTAAGTACCAAACTTTCCATTTTATCATAATCGAATTTCTTTTAGCATAAATGCATTATGTTTTGGCGGTTGATAAGGAATCAACACATATCAGTTTCTCTAAAGAAGGGTGAAATCTTACGTTCATCATGCAGCAAAAACTGCAGTTTATTTAGTTCTTCTATCCTTGTAGGTTGTTGAGATTGGAGACAATGGTTTGACAGTGATATGCTCTTGCTAATTATAACTGTACTTCCATCGTTGCTACAAGGAAAACAAAATCGTAACTGAAACTTGTCACAACAAATATATAAGCAAAATAATTCCGCCAACTTTTTCATTCATCAATCAGTTTCCAAGTTCCAACCATATTAATCCTCATGAATCAAACTTCAGTTCCAGCAAGGCGATCATGGCTGTCAATCCGTTCCCTCTCGTGTTCCATCGTCCGCGACAGAAGGATCACCTCGAGGGACAGTGCCGGTTTGGGGAGCTTTGTGGGAGGGCGACAGCTGAGGGTGCAGCTATTTGTTGCTGTTGCCCTTTGGCGATAGCCAAGTTTTTAGTTTTAGCAATTTACAAGATCCCCGCTAGGCTATGCCACCGTGCTATCAGTAAGGTGCAGCGGCGAAAAGGGTTGATTGAGCCGCGCAACCAGCAAGGCGGTTGTGGTTGTGATAATAGGGATTTTCAGATTCAGCCTGTGGAGAGGGTGGAAGGCTCGGAAGAGAGTCAGAAAGCTGTGAAGGAACTGGAAAAAGAGATGTTGCAAAAGTTTTACGGGAGTAGATTTTGGAGAAGTCCTAATTGTCAATCCAGAATTTAAAAAACTGTAATTTGGGATGTTCTGATATCTCGGTATGAATAAAAACATTGAATATTTTTTTTATAAGAATTTCAGGCCTCGTTAAAAACCCCCTTCTTGATTAAAGTAGTTTGTAGAAAAGCTCCTTAATCAACGGAATGAGGAAAAGAGTGTCTTATGATATTATTGAACAAAAGAAATTACATAAGATACAACCTACAAAACACCCCCATGTAAAGCATAAATACACCCATAGTAAACAACACTAAATCAGTCAATTCCTTCTTTAGCTAAGGCGTCAGCCTCTAAATTGGCTGTCCTATTTACCCATCTATCAACACCATGTAATACATCAAGCCTATGAACAATATCTTTAACCATAAAAACATAAACATCAAGACATAATTCCACCTCCTTAACCCAATCCACTGCCACCTTGTTGTCACTTTCAATAATCAAACGGTCCTTGAAGCTCTCTCGAAAATCAGCATAGAACACCAACCCCTTATGAATAGCTTTTAATTCCATATAGGTCGGAGGCCCGGACCAGCAGTTTCCTTGAAAAAGCCTAAGGTCAACCCTGTGAAATCCTTTAAAACTCCTCCTATCCCACTCTTCTTTCAATCTCTAGTAGTAGCTGCGTCAACATTAAGTTTTACAAAACCTTTAGGAGGAGGGGACCAAGGAGAAACAGAAACAATCTGTTTGGCATTAAAAGAACACGAGTCCCCTAAGGAAGGATCTGAAATAAGAGAATCTTTAGGGATAGAAACCCCTTTGTTCTTTGCTAGGAACCAAGAAGCAAGCCTAAACCTTGCTAAGAAGAAATATTCAGCCATATCTAACTCCCCCTCAAACACAATTAGATTCCTTATTTTCCAAGTTGTCCAAAGGACGACCCCTAGAATTAAAGACCAAATTGGAGAGTTAGTCTTCATAGCAGCCCAAGCAAGAAGAAAGTTTTTCGCATTATCATGAAAAACAGTCTTTATCCTCCAGAAATTCATAAATTTGTTTCAAATAACCCAAACCACCGAACACGAGAAAAACAAATGTGAGGAAGACTCATTGAATATGGATTTTGTTGGTTCAAAGATAGAGCAATGTTCATGTCGCCAAACAATTCCAGAGCAATAGAATTTAATGAAGGAAATATGATTGCCTGTTGATGAATATAACTTACAAAATAACACTCCAAAAAATGTCATCAACTTACAAATACTATTCACAACAGCATGAAACTTGAGATTAATAAGTAAAAAAAAAATGAAACTATTAACACAAGGCCTGAGAATCCCGATCTTCAACCTCCAACTGTGACTTGACGGGCCATTATATCGGAGTTAGCCAAACCTGGCATCGGCCCACCATTCTGAGTAGGGTTTATTTCTTCTGCTACAGTTACAGCATCCTCGGATTGGGCAAGGTTGATGGGATCAGTCTGGTTTTCTTCAGGCTTCCCAACACAAGCATCCTGCACAAGGTTCTCCGTCTTCTTCGTTTTCGGTTCAGACTTTCCAGGCTTTTCTTCGGATTTGGCGGTCTCCTTAGATTGAAGCTTGGGTTGGGGCTTCTTTACAGTCTTCTTGGAAGCAACATCTTCACTACCATTGGTTTGATTTTTTTTGGTTGAATTGTTGCGTTCTTGGTTCAAGGATAGGCTAACACCAGAACCATCACCTTCTGAAGGGTTGTTGGTTGCAGCAGCACCGCCCTTGTTCCTTCCAAGCTTTGGGGATTTTGCACGTGTAGTCGGTATCTGTGACAATTACAGTATCAGATAATTGGAGTATAGATGAATGGAAGATGGTACAATGAATTAAGAGAGAAATATAAAATGCTGTAAGATAAATAAACTTGATCCATTTCTACAAGTCTACCGATGTGTGCATTTGCCCATTATCGATCGTTATCTCATCTGCCAATAGCACTGCATGGAAATGCTCTAGATTTCTAGTCATTAAAAAAACAAGTTGATATCATTCCTCATTGCATAACTACATTGATTGTGTTGAAGTGCTCGATCAACAGACAAAGCACTCGAGTTTACCGAGAAAATGCATCATTTTACCAATGTGTCAACAATAGTAGAAGCACAAAATCTTAATCTGACTAAAAGTTCTCTTGATCAATCAAAAGCCACCTAATAATCCCAGAGCATTAACTTGAATCAAACATAGAACTCTTAAAATCCCAGTAAACAGCCTGCAAGATTTCTGCACCTACAAATTACCTTATTTAGTTCAACTTTTGAAGGAGGCTCTCTGTAGAAACTTGGCATTGGTGTCGCTTTAAAAGTCAAACTCTTCCTTAGTTGCTTGATTTCTTTCTCCTGGTTCTCCTGCAGGATGCAACAAACCTAAAAATTAATGAAATGACGCGGAGATAGAATGAATTGAAGCAGAAAATTTGGAAACCATAACTAGTTTATAGAATAGATAAATATGAACATTCAAGTAATAGCTATAAAGTTATTGCCGAGACCCTTGATTTTGCCTGCAGGTTATTCTTTTCAACTTCCTTGGCATGGATCTTCTCTTCTAGCTTCGAAAGAAACTGCAGGAGAAGTTCATGAACAACCATTTATAAAATTAATGTGACTGGAAAATAACAGATTGCTCCATATTTCCAACCTTCTTCCGCTTTTCGGCACGTTCCTCCAACCTAAAGGTGAATCCTGGCCCACTACTCCTCCTAGTGCTACGAGAAGTGGCACTGCCAATAATCAAGACCAAAAATCAGACATATCAATAAAAGAAGAGTAATTAGTAAAATGACTAGCATGGCACATGGAAGTTAAAAATAATGACAGTACGAAGTAGTGGAATGAACATCATCATCCTCTTTGATCAGCACTGCAGCTGTTATTGGCTTTGAATCCGCTGATCTGCAATCATACAGGATTTGTTCACAGTAGAATTAAAAAGTATAAAATCGTTTTCCTCTGTCTGTTTATTTGCCAACCCCACACTCATTTTTTTTATTAGTTGCAGTGGAGTTGGGATGTTCAAAAGAACAAAGGGATCTATTCTGCATCCAAGTTCTAAGCAAATTTACCCTGAATATAAATGCATTAAAGAAGATATACAATACAACCAAAGTAGAAGAGGTTAAACAGTGTGAATCGGAATGATGATATGGCGACTAAAACTTACTCGGATGATGAAGAGGGTTTAGCAGCCGCATTACCAGGACCAGATTTTGCAGACTGATAAGTAAACACAGATAAAACAGAAAGAGCCATTTAGAAAGCGAAAAAGTAGAAAGGAAATTAGAGATTGATGATACCCCACATTCATACCACAGCTTGCTCATTGCTAGGGAAAGATGCTAAAGTAGCCCTTCTAGAAGTAGTTCCACCACCATTCACATTCTTCGAGTCCGCATGGATGGATCCGCGCCTATTGGGATGACTCGAACGAGACAATAAAAGAACTGATCCTTTGGAAGAAGAGACATGGACTTTCGAGTTTTTTTCCTGGGCATGTTTGGGGTCAGCTTTCTCCTCATATTCATCAATGCTCTTCACAAGAGCATCCCCATGGACTCTTCTTGCGGGAAATGAAAGACTCTGGGACAGCGCAGGCCTCTGATTACGAGTAACTGGAGCTGCACTTCTCAGATGAGGTTTATCCTTTGTCACCTTAATGTTCTTTGAATTACCACCACTCATATTACTAGGCTCCTACACATTGAAGCATACAAATACTCTAAGCTATAAGAAATTATACGAGTGATCAACAGATTCAATAACAATAGAACAGCTTGAATGGATGAAAAATGGTACCTTTAAGGTTTTTGAGATCTTGGAGACATTTGCAGGAGCTTTGTTTGCCTTGACTTGAGATTTCTTTCCCTGCTGCTTGGAATCTTCCTTCAGATTTGAGTCTCCCTCACCATTAATGTCAGCATTGGGTTCCTCTTTCTTTTCTTCTGCAAAAGATTCTTCAACTTCTGCTTTTTCACTGACGAGTATCTCTTCCTCCATTGTTACCCCGTTTTCAGACTCCATTCTACAGCTAAGGGAGAAAATTTCCTGCTAAAATTACAAATGATGATCATCAGCATCAACTTAAAAACTCAAAAAAAAAAAAAAAGGAAGGGTTTTTCCAAAAATCCAAAATGAACTGCATTGCCAATTTAAATTACGAGACTAGAGAATTCAAGCAAGATCTAGCTTTAATGACTGGTCATTGAATTGAATCTAAATGACGATATGTTCCCTTAACACATTCTTTACACAAAAACTGCAAAATCTGGTAAAATATAATCAAAACTCGAAATGAGAATCATCTCAGAGAAGAAAAACCAGTTGAACAAAGATCCAACTAAAACCATACAATTAAATTATCTGGCCACTAAAAAAAAAAGACAACGCTGACGTCAAAACTCGAACCTTTATGAACAGAACCAGACAGAATTCGCATAAACTCAAAAAAGAAGAAAACCCAAAGATTATTATCGACCGTTATAAAGAAATGACCTTTTTTTACAATAGCTTAGACCCAAAAGAGCTGAAATGCAGAGCTTGAATAAACAAACGAAGAAAGCACAGAATTTGGAAAAAAGTAAACAACAAAACAAAAATCAGAAACTAAAAGCTATAAATCCAAACTGGGTTTTCGATCGAGAGGCTTAATGACAATCCGCTTCATACAAAAGGGGATGGCTTTTCGTAATGTTTAGACTTCAGAGACAGACTGCGTGTGTTTTGTGGGCGTTTTTACCAAACTATCCCCCTTGCACGCAATAATTACCTTTAAGGCACCCTTTCCTCAAATATTACCGATCTAGCATATTTTAGACATCGTGGCAATAAAGTGTGGATCGTCATCCACGCCTTCGCGGGTTTTTGTTCGAGCTGACGCCACATAAGGAGAAGGCGTAGATCGCCATCCGCACCTTCACGAGGTTCTGACACGTACTAAATGTGCTAATTATGCACGTTGAATTATTGATACTCCATTATTACTCGAGCTTGAAAACTCATCTTTTAAACGCTCTCCCTCCCATATAAATAACTGCCTCTCTGAATGAAAACATCATCACACCAAAATTATTTGATTATTCTCACTTTTATCAATTCTTTTATCAAGTTAAGTAGATTTTATTATTGTTTTATAATGTAAAATTATTTTTATTATATTATATTAATTTTATATTTAATTATTTAAGCAAATTTTATTGTACTAATTATTTTATATTATTTTTAGTGGTTGTAAAATTAGAAAACGGAATCATACCTCGAGACATTTTACCGATATAGTAACAATATGAAATTATGTTATTTAAATTATTGTGAATTTTTTAAAATTTTTTTTGGATTAGTTTATATTTTAATTCATATATTATTTATTTAATTAGAGGTATTTCAGATATAAGACTCATTCTTTCAAAGTTATAAAATGATGCATATTTCAACTATTGTTTATTATGATGAAGAAATTCGGGAAGATAAAACCGTTAGAAAAACGTAACAAAATTAGCTCGTAACATTATCTCAGATATTTGAATTAAAAAAACCGTTAAAATTTAAAAACCCATTAAAATAATTAGCTCGGACAGAACTCCGCAAAGGTGCGGATGACGATCTTCGTTTTATTTTCACTGTGTCAGAAATGGTACTAAATTAATAATATTTGAAGAAATGATGCATGATAGATAATTATTGTTTATAAGGGTGGTATTTCGATAAAAACACATGTTTTTGTGTGTATATTTTGAGTTTAAAGGACTAGTTTTTCAATGAAGTGGATAGGAAGATTGATAAAAAAAAAGAAGCCAAATGACTGTATTGCCACCAATCTGTGGTTATTTGATTGCCCCAGACTTGAAGATTTTAACTTCACCTTCCTCAATTATGAATCATAATGGAGGGAATGAAATCAAAGAGGATTTTCAGCATTAATAAATTCCATAAAATAAAGTATCCGTTTCACAAGTGGTAAATGTTGGGACATTTATGGTCTAAATTCGGTATAACAGTTCTTTATGGTCATTTTTCTTCTTTTTTAATGTAATTCATTCCACTATCGCTATTGTAATTGTATCTAAAAAAACATTTTTTATTATTGATTTTGGGGTAAAGTACACATATGGTCCCCAACCATAGGATACTATTTTATTGAGTCCATCAACTATTAAAAATTATAAAATAGTCTCTCAATTATTAAAAGTTACAAAATAGTCCCTCGATTATTAAAAGTTATAAAATCATCCCTCGACTATAGGGAACTATTTTATTCAGTATCTCGACTATTAAAAATTACAAAATGATCACTTGAATATTCATATATTTCAAACTTGTCTTTTCTTGTTAAAAATTTATCGGCCGTCTAAGTTGAACTTTAACTTACTGACTAGGATGTTATAAAATCATATTTTAATGATGTTTATTAGCATTATCGTTGCTTTCAATAATTAACTCAATGACATAATGTAAACGAAGAATCGGTCTACGAAATACAACTCAAACATTTCTGGAAATAGATTTTATCATATCACAATCAACAAGTTAATGTTCAGCTCAGATAATTACTATTTTTTTGACAGAAAATGATGAATTTGGAATATATGAACAATTGGATGACTATTTTGTAACTTTTAATAGTTGAATGACTCAACAAAATAGCGCCCTATTACCGAAGAACCATTTGTATACTTTACCCTTGATTTTAATTATATCATTATAATAATTAATATGTGTATTCATACAAATAAACTTTAAAATTAGAATCGACTAATTACATCACATTAATTTTTAGATAATATGTTTCAAATAGAATTCACATGTCAGATTAGTTACAATAAAAAAATTGCTATTTTTATTTGATTTACTTCAATTTAAGTTTAAGTTTAAACTTCTTTTTAAAATTTTAAATTCAAATTTATGAGATAAATAAAATATAGTATATGTTTAAAAAAATATAATAGTGAAAATAAAACGCGTAACAAAAATCAATTTTAACTTAAAGTGCTTTGATAGTTTAACCTACAAAATCAAACAAATTTTTAAGAGATTAATTTGAATGTCTAAAATATTAAACATTATTATTATTAATTCTAAACATGCATAAAAACACTTTTTTTGAGAAAGAGATGGAGGATATTAGTGAGATTTCTCATTTCAAAGACTACAATAATCTTAATACAGGTGTCGAGATGAAGTCCTGTAATATAGTACAAGTTTATTTTTATAATTTTTTTCTAATATTCGTACACTTTTAAGTTATAAATGTGTATTCTAGGATTTTTATAGAAAATGTATGAGAAAACGAGATTTTATTCGGAGTAATATATGTTTTTACAATCTTTTAATTTCATCTAACTTATTTTTTATATACTAAATTTCTTCTCTACTACCGTAATATTTTGTCATTTTAAAGTTTTCATATAAATTTATGTATTTTTACTTCATGATCTTATTTATTTTCTCACATTGTCTTTTTTATTTTGTAACTTTCTATAAACAATATTGTTTTTTCTTCTTCTTAGCATCCGAAGTAAATCTAGTAAATTATTATGAAAATTATGTTTCATGTTTTCTATATGTTCATCATATATATATGTACCTATTTTTTATATACCCACTGTTAAAAAATTAATAGAAATGCTCATGATATTTTAAAAATTTTCAATAATGACATGTCATTATCTTATGATGGCACGTCATTATCATCATTAATTCTTTAACGGCAAGTGATCAAAATGAAACAAAAACTAAACGTTAGGTATAATTTTAAAAAGGAAAATATTTAAATGACCAAAAGTAATGATTGAGTACTTAAACGTGTAGTTACCCTTATATTTGTTACATAATTATTATATTTATTAGATGTGTCACATTTTTCAAATTACCAAATCTAATAAGTAGTGAAAATGAAATTCATAAATGAAGGTTTGACATTAAAATTGGAAGCATTGAATAAGAAAATGACAAGACAAGAGTGAAGGGTACTTGGTGAGAAAGGGGTGCTGGAGTTGTGGGAAGGTTCAAGCAACAATGTAACATGTTGAATGACAATGTGGTATGGTACAATCAATGAATATCCACTCCAGTATTCCGTTTTGGACAGTTTTGAGCATAACATCACACCCCCTCTCTTCACGTTGTATAATCAAATTATTTAATCATAGATGTATTTTTTTATTAATTTAGAGTGATTATAAAGTAGTATTTGTTTAAAAAAAATTAGCTATTGATAATGTATATACATCCGTCGCAAAGGCAACTGTTCAAACTTAGAACTTCTAAAAATAATAATATTCACTTTAATCATTGAGACAACTTGAGAGAAAGAGGAGGGGAATGCAGAGAGTGCACATACACCCTTAAACATAATTTCATGTTTTTATTTTGTAAGTACGAATGAAGAGGGAAAGGTGACATGGAACATTTTTTTTAGTGATATGTAAATATATTCTTAATTGATATTATATTATCAATAAAAGTGACGTAATAAAATATGTTAATAAAATAATTCTTTTAAAATTTATTCTTATTAAGATAGTTAAAATTGCATTTTTTTTCAAAACTCAATTTAAACAAATAATTCAATTTTGTGTAAGTGTGATTCATCCTCTAATCACACTTATTTATTTTATTATGTTTCAAACTTGGTTAATGATGGAAACGTACGTTGTCTTTGACTCTTTGTTATTGTGAAATAATAAGGGAAATTAGGCTGTCAAGGAGTGGCAAAAAAATGTGCACATTCATTAACTAATTTGATGCATTGTGCTGTTTTAAGAGTTTATTGTATTCAATGGTCTTTCTTTTTAATATTTTATCAAAATCTTAATCTTATTTATGGAATTTGAGTATAACATAATTAAGTAGAGTTTAAACATTAACAAGATCAGGTTCAATTATAAATTCAAGATTTAAAGTTAAAATTGAATTCGATCAAGTTCTACTTTTATGTGAGTTAAAAATCAAATTGCCCAAACTTGTTCAACAACACTTTGAATTTAATTGTTTTTGTTCAAGTTTAAATTGAAATTCTCAATACTAAACAAAGTAAGCTTATAAGACTCATAAGTCATTCAAACCAAGTATTAAGGTATTTGAATTTCAATTACTCAACACCATGAGTTTCTCGAGCTTGATTTTAATAAAATAATAAATATTATTAATAAGGAACATGTTTATCTCGTCAGTGTTTCTGTGAGAGCGATGAAAGTATAAGGAAGAGTGGAGAAAGAGAAAAAGTGGAGATGTTATCTCTCTAGCTCATAGCTTAGAGGTATTTATAGTGACCCTAGTTGATAGTGTCAAGTATAGGATAATCATGTCTATTAATAGACTATACAAATGTGACCGTCAGCTATCAGATTTGACTCTGTTAAATATCACATCAAAAACTGAAGAAAATGAATTAAGAAGAATGATCCCAACGGAAGATGATTCCGGAGATGGTGTGATATTTTCGAGAAACTTTTGGAAATTATGTTCAGATGATGAAATTTTTGAAAAAATCTTTATTGATGAAGATTTAATAGATTTCAAAAGGTTTTTTTCGAGAGGTAGACTAAATATAAATATTTTTAATTGAATTTGAATAACTTGTAAACATGAATACTCCTTTACTATCTATCTTTTCTTAAAAAGAAAATAACATTCTCGTTACTTTAAATACGTTTCTTTTAAATTTGTAAAATAATATTAAAATGTGGAGAATTATATAAAGTGAAAAAAAGAATGAAAATGGAATGTGTTGGTAATGGGTTGAGGAAGAATTGAGGCTAATGACCTAACTCACCAACCACAGGTTGAATGTTAGAATCCCATCTTAATCTGAATTAAGTGGGCATTTTTAACACCTAAATTTGTCCTTAATTATTGCCTTAAGCAAAGACATTTTACTCCAAATGTATTTAAGACCCAGATATGTCATTTCACAACCTACCCTACCCAATAATTGGAAACAACGCACTGTTTGAGACACATGAAACTTCCTCCCTTCCTCTCAATCTGAAATTGGTAAGACTAAATATACTGAATATCAGATTTATAATAACAATAATGACAGTAATATTATCTTAATTTGGATTGGTGTACAACTCTAGTCCAACTACAGAAGACATGGGGTGGGGTCACAGCCAACAATCATCTTGAAGATGACGTGGCAAGACCGAGCAACGTGATTGGTCTCACGTTCTTCACAGCTGTCACAGAACGTGGATAAGTAACAAGCACAAGATTTGTGTGTTTCAGCTTTATCTTTATTTTAAGGTAAAGGATGAATCTCGACCGTTGGATTAAGATACGGTGGTGGGTCCCCATCATTGTTTATTATTATTTTATAAAAAGGATTTTGCGGGTGGTGCGTTGCCTTCGCAGGTTGGCTTTCAAATATTGGATATTTTCTTTTTAGGAAAAAAAAAGAAAAAAAGAAAAAAAGAAAAGGAAATTGTTGTTGGTTCATGACACAATGTTTTCCTCAATTTGCATGTGAAGATTTGTCTTTGCCTCCCAACTGGAAATTTACTTTAGAGAATCCGATGCAATTTTCCTTTAAAGAAAATGGAAAAGGGAACAATATAATAATTCAATCGCCAAATATATGAGAATAATATCCTTTACTTAATTACTTAAGTCACACTAAAAAAATTAATTATAGGAATGATAATTATTTTTTTAACAGGCTACACTTTTATCAGGATATGTGTTTATTGGATGAAAATAAAAGGCACTATCTGTGTCTTTCAAGAAAATATTTAAATTTTATTTATTTTTATATTATTTTAAATAGTGTATTTTGAATAATAATAATAATAATTATTTATATTTCAATAATTTTTTTACTTCACAATATCAATTCATTTAAATACGTAATATTTACATTTGATAAAAAATAACGTCTTAATAAATGTTTAAACTTATGGTTTGATAAATACTTAAACAATTATGTTATTTAAATAGAAACATATTTTTTTTTTTACATTTGAATTGTTGAGATTGATATTTACAATAAACGTGAAACAAATAAATCTCCACACTCACGGATGACCTTTATTTGAACTGGTTTCACAATGCGATCGACGTCAATTATGCGTCATTTTTTTTGTATTAGACATCTTTAACAAGAACGTTATTGTCACCGATATTTTGTCTGGCATCACCGTATACTAATGGTGTAGGTTGGTTCATTGACGTGTCCGAGTCATTCGACGATGGATGGTGACTCGTGAAGAATAGTAATTGTGGAGGTGTTCGACCAACAATCTTATAGCTGAATGGAATCAAAGAAAATCCAAAGAATGTCATCAGTAAACAGGAGATCGATGACTAGAATGATTGTGGTGAAATGGGTAGAGGAACACTCCCACTCAATAATGATGCCCATACAACTTACGTCTAGCCTGATAAAACTAGTGTGTAAAAATCCTATATTGAGCTTGATGGGACTGGAATGTACTACATCGATGGGTCCAATGACATCGACTGTGTAGGTTGTGACGGTCCAAGCGATGTTAATGAAGATGACCTGAAAGTGTTCCATATTTTTCGATTCTATCTTTCTTGATTAATTAGGGGCCAACAATACTGTAAAGGTAAATTCTTTTCCCTCAGATGATGAATCGATTGAGCTTGATTTGTCTCAAACAATAGATACCGCTTGCCACAAAACATAAATCATAATATATATTCTTCGAAAATTGTCATATTTATGTGCTATTAGGCCTAATCGAAGTTTTACTTCTCCTGTCCTTTGACTCCGTATATTTTGCCAAGGACCATATTTGGTCTAGGAACATACTGTACGAAGCTACTGCAGCAACACACGATCAGTCGGGTATTACTTAACAATCGCGTAAAATATAAGAGGCATTGTTAACATGCATGACATGCCATCTTTCTACAAAACATAGTATGGTGTGCAATAAAATAACTTGCAACACTCAAAACAAGATTTAGATGTTGCGATCAAATCAATAAGATCACACTAGTTATCAAAATAACCCTTAAAAGCAAATTGTTCCTTCTAATTCGTTCAAAATCTCAATAAATAAATGATTAAATCAGAAAAATACCATGAAAGGAATTAAATTTAAATGTATTTTTATAACATATGTTTAGGAAAACTAAGACTATACCTGCGAATAGTGAAATGATCCTATCATCTAGAAAAAACTGAAAAATGAGAGACAAGAAAATCACCACAATAAAACTGTTCTCTAACAGTTTTTTTTGCGGTGTTTTTAAATAAAATACCATAAAATTTGAACAAAAAGTGGTGTTTACGAGTAAAATGCCACAAAACAAAGACATTAGAAACGCCGCGATTAACTCTTATAAAGTGACATTTTTGTAATAAACACGACAATAGTCATGCACCTTAGCGGCGTTTTTGTAATAAACACCGCAATAATCATGTATTTTAGTGACATTTTTGAAATAAACGCCGCAACAGTCATGCACCTTAATGATTTTTTGTAAAACATGCTGCAATAGTCATGCACTTTAGTGGTGTTTTACAATAAATGCCGCAACAATCATGCACCTTAGCGGCGTTTTTGATAAACATCGTAATAATCATACACTTCAATGGTCTTTTTGTAATAAACTCCGCAATAATTATACACTTTGACGGTGTTATTGTAATAAACGCCGGGTTTTTGCAATAAATGCTGCAACTTTTAACCCACTGGGTTAGAAATCCTTAATTGTTTCATTCCCATTTTTTCTAGTTTTTCTCTAACGCCCAGCCATCACAGTGAAGTCACCACTATGCAGCCATCACCACAACCACAACATCACGCCGCCGTCATCGGTTTCCGGTCACCAACAAGTATGTCTCTCTTCTGTTTCGCACTCTGCCATTTTCGTGTTCCAAAACCATCCAACTTGTTTCTTGCAATCTGCTCTATCGCTTTACGATAAATTCAAAATTTTCGAGTTCCCATACATTGGAATGATTTCAATATGTTGTATCTGCTGTTTCTTGCCATTTTCGTGTTGGATCTACTTTTGTTTTCCTGATTTGATGTTGTTTAGTCTGATTATTTGTTGTATCTGCTCTATAAGTATTGGAATCCTGGTGAGTAAACTAGCTGGAAAAATTGTGATTGGATTGTACGGTGACAATGTGCCCCAAACTACTGAGATTTTTCATGCTCTTTGCACAGATTTTGTAAATTGTTCTTTTTCCTCTAATTGACGTAATTTTGGTGTTAGCTAAGTTTTTTAATTGGTAGCAGTATGTTAGTTTTCGATTATTGTCTGTTCTTGTAGGCGGGAAGGGCTTTGGTTATAAAGGTTCCCAGCTTTCCATCGTGCATTAAAGATTTCATGATTCAAGGAGGGGATTTTGATAAAGGAAATGTGGGTATTCATACTCATTTAACTTTTATTCATACACATTTCCATCGTCTGTTCTTGTATGTTAATTGTCCATTATTTTGTCATTGAGCTCGCCTTTGCCCTGTTAGTTTAATGTAAAACCTTGCCAGTCATATTCATAGTCATAGTGGCATCTAAGCCTTTAATACTGCAATGAATTCAGAAATATTACTGCTTCTAAAATCTGTCCTTTATGATCACAATGAAAGTTAATAAAAATGAAGTTTGTTTGCCTTGTTACTTGGTCTGGCAAAAGCAAACATAATCTTCAAGTTTCATGTAGATAAAGTGTCTCGCCTTTACTCTTTTCTGATGTTGCAAAAAGCTACATATTTGATTATCATTTGGGATTCCTGTGGTGCTCTTGGTATCTTTGCGGGATTTATATTGGATAAATGTGTGGATCTTAAATATATCAGGACACTTGTTAACCTTGATGGCCATTCCAAAATCCAAATCCGCACTGGTGGACTTAGGGCTCTGTTTGTAATGTTGGCATCTTACATACAATGCTCTTCAGCTTGCCGGCCATGGTCTTTTACAATGAAACGTTATTTGACCCTCCAAGTAGATCCAGAATGTAGGCATCTGTCCGCTTCCAAATGCTCAATAAAGCAATGACTTTTGCGGTTTGTCATTTATTTGCTTTTTTAGGGTACTGGAGGAAAAAGTATATATGGACGTACCTTCAAAGATTAAAACTTCAAGTGTTGGTTGATTGTCTCAATTTCATTGCTGGCATAAAATCAAATAGATCATTGCTAATAGAACTTGTTTTTTTATCATTGTCTCGATTTCATTATACACAAGAACAATATTTTATATAATTGGGAAAAAACCACACCACAAAAGTATGGAATCTGCCTATAAACACCTTAAATGGTTGAAAACACACATAATTTTACCTTTTGTTTGTGGTATTTTAATATATCAATATGAATATGGCAAATGGTTGATGCTTGGGGAGGATGGAGCTTATTCCAAACGTTACTTCAGACTTTGAAAAAAGTAGCATCTAAGCATGGAGTCTCAAACCCAACTGTTTCTGTTAAATACATACTAAATCATGTAACTAATTACATACAAAATTATTTATTTATTTAAGGATTGTTTGAGTATGATGCATTGAAACGTAATAGGGTTTCTACTCGATTTACTGGAATGTTATGACAGCAAGCTGTAGCAGAATCAATGGTAGGGAAGATGTGAGCAGCATACTAGAAGTTTCAAGAAGAGGGAAAGATCTGCTTAGATTGATAGGGGATTGTGGATACAAGGAAGATGCCATATTTTGTTTATTCTATTGAATAATATAGAATTACATTACATTTCAGTTTGAAGTATTGTTATTGGATAAATTTTTAATATATTTTTATTGTTAAGTATTTCAACTTAATACGTAATTGAATTTCAAGTTTGTTGTGATTGGATAATGGTACAATATGTTAAATTTGAGTAGTACAAAACCATAAATAATATTTGTCAAATCAATTAACCTTAGCGGCGTTTTGTGAATAAAAACGCCACTATATATTATGACTATTAGCGGTGTTTATGGACAAAACGGCACTATAGATCTGGATCTTTTGCGTCGTTTGTTTAAAAAGCCGCTAAATATCATTATATATAGTGGCGTTTTACGTGCAAATGCTAACTATTGCAGCGTTTGTAAAATAAACGCCGCTCAAAATCATAACCTTTAGCGGCGCTTTTTGCAATGTTTGTTTTTGTGCCACAAGAGTTTTTAGCGACACTTAAAAAGACCGCTATGTAACTAAAAAACACCGCTATATGACTAAAAATGTCGCTAAAAACCAGTTTTGCTATAGTTAATGGACGAGTTAAAGAGCCCAATATAGTCTAAAAATAATGAAAAATATCGAGCAAAACAATAAAGATATTTGCAAAACAATCCAATCAAGAAAGTCACGAGAATCATGTATAAGATATCAACCTACAGAAATCGAATACATATATCATGTTATGTGTATAATGCAAAATGTAACTAATGAGTTTTAATTACCCAACGGAAAGATAACAAATCACATGATAAATTTAGCGTCTGAATTTAAGGAACCATAATAAATGGGTGGATTTATCATTCATATAAGGTGAATCGTGATACTTCTTCTATCATAATCCCTAAACCCCAATATACCAATACATAAGATGTATGCATGCCATGCCATACCAGAAGTGTTATTAACTTATCAGAGTTCTATCAATTCAAAAACGTCAAAATATAGAAGTCGTATATATGAAATCATATCTTATGAACGAAAAGACATTCATATCATATTATTGCATAAAAATATAATTAGAAATCATAGTTCATCAATGTTATATATTTAAGATGCAATTAAGCTCTAAGACGATTCAAAAGAAAGTAAATCTATCATTTTGAAATCATTCGTTAATAAAAAATAATCAAACAAAAGGGAAAGGGGGTGTAGTATTAACCCGGTAACACAAATATCTTAAGAATATTAAACAGACCTTAAAAAAGAATAGAGATTTATATAAAATTATACAGGAGAGGACACACACCTATTTTAGAAAGGGCACGGTTCAAAGATATTAGGACAGTTATTCTTCCTTTAACAAGAAATTACACCAGGTCTAATACGTACATCGGAAAAAGAAAAAATATTCACAACTTATTTTGGACATTAACTAATAAAATTTACTTATACTAAAATAGCTTATCTGAATCGATGACGCTGACATTTTAATTTCGATATTTGAAGTCTGAATTAACCTTAAATATTACTAAAATGTAATAACATTGATATAATATACTCATAGTATTGATATACTGAATCCTATACTTAAATAACTGTGAATAGTTCAGTCTAATATTTTATTTTAATAATTTTGTAAACTTAATAGAATTACATTCGAGGAATGATCTAGTTATGTTAGTATAAAATTAAATAACTTTGCATACTTTCAATCAATATAATGAAAATATAAATTAACTCAAAATCTTACATACAGGTCTCAAAGAGGCAGTCCGCATACATGAGAGTGGCAGAAGTACAGATCGCATTAAGGCATTTGCATAACCAGACGAACAAAATCTGTCCATTTTTGCATGCCAAAATTAATTAAACAACGTGTTACTTCCAGCATCCCACGTATTCACCATGCAAAGGTTCAAAATCTCTTATAAATTGCCATCACTCCCCACCCTGTTCCTCACCATCAAAACCTATAACCAAACATATCCCACTTACCTGTAAATCAACAATGGAAAAGCTCGCAGTCTACTTAGCCACCTTCGCCCTCGTTTTGTTCATCGCCCATGTTTCAATCACAACTGTGACGTTCGACGAGGAGGAAAACACATGGAGGCCGTCTAGGCGATCACAGAGCAGCTGTCAAGAGCAAATAAGGGAGCAAGACCATCTCCAGGACTGCCAGATACATGGAGGAACAGTGCGGTTGTAGCAGCAGCAGCTGCAGGTACAATAGATAATGCAGCAGGCACCTTGACTCGTGTTGCTGGCAGCTAGAGAAGCTGGAGAATCAATGCCGATGCCCCGGTCTAAAACATGTGGCAATGCAACAAATGAAAGGACAGATGGGAAGAGAAGAGATGCCAGAGTTGTATGAGGCTGCTGAGAAAATTATGTCTAAATGTGATATGAAGCCTAGGAGGTGTGATTTCCATCTCGCGACAGGGTCTAACGGACCATAGCCGCAGCTAAAATGCTGAAGAATAAATGTTAAATTGTCTCCCCATCCATGGGGTGACTAGCTTTCTTATAATAAAGCACATCATCGTGTGCACTTCTGTTAAATGTTTATGAAAAAGTTGCTCATCTGCTTTAGATTTTCTCTTTGCAACCTTAATTTTGGTTTAAAGAACAGTAACTTGCCTAGGATTATACATTGAGCTCCAAACACAAATTACAAGAACGTTAAGTAAATGCGCAGAACGGGAATTTTAGAGCAATATCAAGCTTTATTTAATACAGTAACTGAAATGTGGTTATCTATAACCACTTCGAATACCACAAGCCACCATTGTCTTTAAACAAAATATAAGGTCTTAAAAGATAATTTTTTATACAGTTTTAAAACTAGTGATGTTGCCATTCATTTTTAACTTTTATTAATTTAATCTTTGAATTTTATGAATTCTATTAATGTTATCTTTTTGATAAATAAAATTGTCGTCAACTATTATAGTATTAATATGTCAAACTATTGTGTTGATATAAGTCCAAATGTGAGTGATGACGTAGTAAAGAGGCGGGATTAATTCTCCTAAAAACTTGAGGACTTACTTTTCTTTCAAAACTTTGAAGATTTTAATTGATTATTTAAAAAAAAATCAAAAACCTATTTAACCTTTAAAAAATATTAAAATTTTAATGACTTATATCAATAACTTGCACTAAAGCAAAACTGTTATGTAGCGGCGTTTAGAGAGTAAACACCACAAAATTTAAACATATAGCGGCGTTTACAATCCAAACGCCACAAAATGAAACTTTAGCGGCATTTATTTAACAAACTCCGTAATAGAATATTAATTTAGCGGCATTTTTAGCACAAACGCCGCAATAGGGTTAGTTTATAGTAGCGTTTTCCAACAAACGCCACTATAAAGAGTACTTTAGTAGTGTTTTTAGACAAATGCCATAATAGGGTTCATCAATAGTGACATTTGTTATAAAAATGCCGCAAAAACATGTGTTATAGTGGTTTTTTTAAAAATACCGCCAAAGGATAAATATATGCTCCACCCTTTTCTCCTGCACGATCCCTAAAATCATTTCAACTCTTCTTCCCTAAAAGCTTCTTCTCTGGTACAAAAATGATCCTCACACGATTCCAAGTGACGTTGTCTTATGTCTGTCCTGGCGACCAAATCGGCCCTCTCACCGGCGAACTATAACACAATTGCACGGTTTGATCCCTTCTCTCCCTATTGAACTTTTTCATTTTTCTTTTTGTTGGTATTCTCAAAATGGGGAAAACCCAGAAAGCTAACGCATTTGAGAAAAATAATAGCTTTTGAATAGGAAAACAATATCTATACATAGTGTTTTACCGGTTTAGTGCTTGGGAGCAGTGTTTTACTACTTTCGAATAGAAAAATAATAGCTTTCGAATAGGAAAGTAATAGCTTTTGAAAACGTGAACAAATAGTTGTGGTACAAATAACAGGTGTTGCCTTGAGAGCTTGATTCATTTGATTGTGTACATGTAAGCAAGGATGTGTTTGTATTTGGATTCTTTATGCATTTGAATGACATTTTTGGTGAGGGAAAATAAGGGAAAGAATTAAAACCATGTGGTGCCATTGGTTTATGAAATATTGTAGTTTGGAAAATGGTTTATGTGAACTATAATTCTAGGCATTGATTATATATATTTTTGTTGGATCCGACCTTTTCAATTGATTGCTTTTGGTTATATTAGGGAGTCAGGTTTGTGGCCGAGTCTATAGGGGTTAGATGTGCATAAGAGGATGAGTTTTAAATGGGAATTTTGTTTTGAGGGAATGTTTCTTTTCCTTTTCACTTAAACAACAAACAAGCAAAGTATTGGTTTGTTTTGAGGGAATGTTTCTTTTCCTTTGCACTTAAATGAGAATTTTGTTTTGAGGGAATGCATTTACATATGAATATGTGAGGTCTGTGTATCAAGGAGACATGTATTAATAATTGTAATAGTATTAGTTTGTTTATCCAAGAAAGATAAATGACTCTCACAATTGTCTAGCGTATTTTTTCTGAACTTTTATGGAGCTATGTTTCTGACAATAGTCGTAGCCTCATTTTGCATACGATGTTGAGAGAAAGTGAACACTCGAACTAGTTTACAAAAAGATAGAGTAAGAGAAATTATCGTCGGAATGTCAACGTGGCGTATTTGCTCTAACGATGGATCAAATTATCGTTGGGAGGCTTTCAGTCCGTTTTTGCCGTCTATCAATAACATTTTTCGCCCGGGCAGGGAAAGACCGATACCGACAGGGGGTTTTCTCTTTGAAAATATTTCGAAATGTGAGGAGTCGTCACAAATCATTTAAAGTGAGATTGGAATATCGTAAAAAATCGGGTGATTTTAATAAAAACGTTTTATTTTAATAAAATACCAAGTTTTAGGGTCTACGAAAAGTCCAGAAATCAGGTTCGGGAGTCTGTTACGCGTTGGGAAGGATTAACACCCCACAAGCGCCCAAAAATTGGTACATAGTTGATTACCCTCTATTTAAAATCGGAGATTTTGAGTCCGATCTTTATTTAACTTAAAAATCATCAAGG